AGGACAGGACAATAAGGAACGCAAAGTCTAGGTCATAGACAAGGGACAAAATTGTCACTGGACATATAAACCTCGACTGATTTTTTAAGTTCACTTTACCTGTTGCCGGTACATGTCTTTGAGGTCTTGAAGGTCCATACGTAGTTCGTCGGCTTCCTCGATTTTCTGACCATACAGCTGTAACAGTGCTTGATGCCTGTTGTTCAAATCCTTAACGGAACACAAGTCAACTGACCATAAATCACAGACAACGCTTGGAAATAAGAACATTTTGTACTTCGTTACCAAGGAGAAAAGCATCTGCGGAAATAACACTTCTAAATTTGCCTGAATTAGCTGCACATAAAAACTCGATAATTATCCATGTTATCCGCCGAACAATATTGGAATACTCTGAATTTGGCAAGCTTCGACTATTTAAATTGCAAAGCGTTGTCATGTTGACATGGTCATCTTTAGCCCCTTTTAGCAAAACTGCAGTATCTTCACGATTCATGATGTTTGTCCATCTAAACATTTAGCATTTTGATACTAATGTGTTCAAGATGTCTATGAGATGAAGATTCTTCATCGACAACGGTTCTCCACCTAGTTTCCTTTTCCACGTGAAAAGCGGGTTAACGACCTATCGTCAGGCATGTTTCGGCTTCGATATTAACAGCTGATACACAAATGAGGCTCGGCTGCTTTGCTGCAAATAATCGGATCATACCACATTTCCTCCCTGAACATCTCCAACATTCCAACAAGTTTCAAACAGTGCCAAAAACCGGTCGATCCTGATGCAGTCATGCCACTTCTGCGGTCTTCAACGGTGTAGTCACCAGCATTACTGAAGGCCGTTTAGTAGATTATCACGTGCTTTGTAACAGCAGCTGCTTTGCTGAATAATGTACAGAGCTGTTCATTTCCTGCTATCATTTATCAAGCCTCTCGATATTCAAAATGACTTTCCAACAAATCAGACAGGCGCACGATCGAAAAATTTCATTGCTCTTCCTTCAAATGATACAGGCACCAAATGCGTCTGTACGGTATGCAATGAGAATGTCATTTTCCTAGAAATATATCTTAAAAAGTTGAAGAGCTCCGCTGCGAGAACCCTAGTACCAGAACCAAATTCGCTTCCTTCCGCGTTGGGGATGTGGTCACGACATGAGATCCCAACATTCTTCTTTCCATGCCTCTTTTGGGGGAACACTGCTGGCGCTATTCGGCCTGATTGCGTCACAGTCATACAAAATTTCCGACAAGACGGCAGAATTGAATGGTGGCATGGGTTCTTTCCGGATGTTCCGGACGTCCTTGATCGAATGAAACGCGCGCCAATCGGTTCTTTTTCTCCGTAGAATTCATCTAGTCAGATCATGCCGCCTATTGACCTCATGGCCCAGGTAAATGCATTTACCGCCTTCTTCAATCATTTCAACCTTTAGTATTAGCCGGGCATTCGGTATGGCATCCGATCGCATTATGTTTCATTTCGCTTATATATTCTATGTAAAAAGTCCCTTAGTGAATGAACACAGCACATCGACGTTTTTTACATATTCTTCAACGTTACAGATCATGCTTGATCGGTCATTAAGCACAGACATCATTCAAACAAAGATGTTACCATACAGTTTTGAGTAACAACGTATATTTTATATTACTCTGTGAAAATGGATCGAGAATATGTACAAATAAATTCATTATGTCGTCCTCAACAACAGATTTTTCAACTGCCGCATAAGACTCAATTTCCGCTTGTAAAAAACAAGATTCTTTGGGTGGCAATCTTCAGAATGTAAGGATCAAGTCTGAACTCTTAGAAGACAACAGATCAAAATATCGAATGCTTCTCCTACCTGAAAAGAATCTTTCAGTTCCGAAAGCTCGGCTACCGCTGATCGATTCTCTTGCAGTTCGTTGTTGAGCTTGGTGATTTCGGCTGCAAGAGCGTCTCGCGTCGCTAAAACCTTTCGGTATTCTTCCTGAAAATTGTTAAACTGGAGAAAGCACCGAAGGTGGGGTGGAGAGAGGTGGTCAAAAACGGTAAATGACATTAAAGACTTATCTGGTTTACTGTATTCGCGTGTGTATCGTTATTACACTATAAACTAACCACATTCTAGGGTACCGAAAGCTTTATGCTTGAATAAATATTTTAAATTGAGGAGTAGTACCGTTCATTTGTTTCCCTCTAATTACTTCCGGTCAGATTGCTATCTTCCAAAGTAGATTTTAAGACGTAGGTACAAGAAATAGTGTCGCTAAATATTGTAGAGGAACCGGAAAACCGCAGCTTTTAAACAGCCACACAGGTGTCACTCGTAATTGTGACTGTTTGTTTGATCACAATCATCACCATCAGCCGCATTCCCTTGTAACAATAAATGGCGAGGCAGTGTCGTGAAAACCGTATCACTGTTTCCACATGTGATATGAGGATGCGACTGTGGGAGGGAGAACCGGGAACAACAAATGCATACGCACAAACAGTTCGTCGAAAACAGCCAGCCCCTTTCTTCCAATGTAGTTTTAGTTATACGGAGGATATCTGAGTCTCGAGTACAGATGCTACTAGGACTTTCATAAACTTAAATCACTGAATATGTACCAACGAGTAAAATCGCCAGATTACTGACAGTTCAAATGGCAGACTACCAAATTCAACTCAGCGCCACTCAGCATTGCATAATTTAGACCAAACAGCCAACGATGATCATTTACGTAACGAATAGGTACGAAAAAGTACACGAACTGCAAAATACCAGTTGATGAATACAGAGCGCTTGTGCTCGCAGTTGCTGCAGCCATTGTTTCTGTCGGCGAAATTGGTCGCTTTACATTGGTGATTGGACTATGTACATCAAATCTGCAATCCATCAACAGTCTTCACGTATTTACTCACGACGTTCCTACTGTAGAAAGTTCTATTTGTAGTGTTAGCGGTTCTCATACGCAGTAAGCGAATTCTCCTGTTCACCTCGCTGCGCAATTCGCCTACTTGTCTACCAGCAGTTTCAGTTTTTTACGCACAAACATCGCAATTGTTAATTAATACTCTACAGCAAACAGCTGATTATCTTTGCCATTATCGAGTAAATTTATTTTTGTAAAATTCTTAACCTGCTTCGATAATTTTCAGCAGGAGCCTGAAGATACACCGATTTTCTGCAGTTATATAGATCATTCAGACGGTAGAGGCACAAGCTGTGTGTCCTAAATTCTACATTCTTGTAAAACGTTTCAAATGATTGACTTGTAAGCATACACGTTCTCTCTCTCCATGCGCTTCAGTAAATTGTGGTGCAATCAGCTGCGGTATGGGCTGCAAGAAAATGATTCCAAAAAATGGGAATAGGAAACTAGAGACCCTGATTTTCTCAAGCGTCAACTTGCATGATTCTCGTTATTTGCACATGATTACAATAGCAATGTGTCTAGGATCTGCTCAAGAGTTCACCTATTTACGCACCAAAAATGAAACCCAGAAGTTAAAAACTGAAATAAAATTATGACTGGTACACATTAACATTAACAAATTAATTAATTAACATAAATTAATAGAACAAATTCGAACTGATATTATTTAGTTTTAATGTTGCAAGCATCGTACTCGCATGGCTTTGAATTCGCCCTCTTTAGCTTGCAGCCGTTCCCTCAAGTGCTCAGATAAAAAGGAAACGTTGGCGATGTTGTCAACACTTTCCCAGAGTTCTGCCTAAAAT